CCAATTGGGACAAAACGTCATTATAGGCGGACTTACACCCTCCGGGAAAGTAATGAGTTAGCATGAATAAAGGTATATAACCCGGAGAGCAAATTATTAGGGGGGATTATTGAAACAGTAAATTTGGCTCATTTGCGGCCGAAGGGGCACCTACTAGACATCAGGCAACGCCATCCGTCTGCAGACTTAACCCAAAGTAAGTGGAACTACTCTTATCGCCCTGCTTAATGATTGTGATATTATTAAAGTGAAACTCCTCCAATGGGACACGAGTTAGGAACAATACAAGTGTACAGGGCGTAAGAGTGATCCAACGGAGTGATGCAGAGGTAGCCAGGTGTAATGTAGAGACAGCAGAGGGTGTGTCTTGATGCAGGGAAGTGTGTGTATATATATATATATATAGTGGTTGAGTAGAACAGGAGAAAGAGGAGACTAGCGACCCGCAACTGGGTGAAAAGAGAGAGAGAGTTGAGGTCCAAGAATCGTCTAAGAAAGTGTAATGGTAATCCGACACCAGTCGGCTCTTTGTGATATTACTAAAATGTATATAACTGTATATTGCTTGTTTATACTAATATAGGGTAGCACAGGGTGAGATGTGGGTTTCTGTTGTTGTGATTTCCTCCCTTACCACATTTCGCACCTGCGCCGTCCTGCCAAACCCTGCGAATAGTGTGCCTCTAGCCAATGGAGAAACAATAGAGGAAGAAATTTAGCAGTTTCCTTAGCCCTACTCCTGTGATTGCAGTACAGAAGGTGACAGCGGAGATACCACCACGCCCCCTGTCACCATGGCATAACAGGTGCATAACAGTATGCACACATATATTTGGGGCATTTCGTGGTATTTATTTATTTAAGTAACATTGGAATTCCCGTGAGTTTTTTGTAATAATAACATATTTGTAAGTAGACTCTAAAGCGTTCTGACAATGGTGTATAAGACACAGAAATCCTGGGATTTTGGATTTTATCCGTCATTCGGTATTGTAAAGACTATAGAACACAGCGTTTGGGATACTGGATCTGTTAACGTCCTCAGGCGACGGGAGGATGCTCTTGTGGATTCCTTAGGAAGAACTGACCTCAAACAGTGGACAACTCATGTCAGTACAACCACAGCCATATAAAAACTTGAGACAAGGCTATGTAAAGGGAGATGACAGGAACATATGCAATAGGAAATGTGATGCATCATGCTCAGATGTGAAAGTGAGATATAGGGCACTGCCATGGGCGTAACAAGTGGGGATATTGGTGAAGAAAATAGAAACACACAAAAGCAGAAATTTTGCGCGGAAACATCTCAGGAAAAGTGGACATCGAAGACGCCGAGAAAACTGGAAGTTTTATGTTAAAATAGATCTTATGGAAATAGATATGAATCAAGAATCAAGAGAGGATAGAAGTGACTTAGGACTGTGTTCAGCGGAGTGTTTCTTGTTATAGCTTTTTAAATCTTGTGAGCATCGACCTACATTATTACGTAGAGATAATGTTATTATATTACTCACATTTAGATAGAGTTTAGAAAATTAGAGGGCGTTCATAGGGAGCCCTGTCTTCATACAGCGCCGTATTCAGACGATCCACAATATAATAATCGATGGAGGTACTCTAATTTTTTACCTATTTTGATTTTCCTCATTCGCATTGGGTAGATGCTAGGATAATATTCATAAGCAGTTAAGAAATTTGTATTTCGATCTTCTACCATTCTGAACGATCATAATTTTTGTATAGTGTCTCACACGAAGCCACATGACCAGACAGTTGAAAGAGGCACTTGAAATTAAAGGAGAATAATTTCATCTCCGTCTGTACCTGCTGTAATATTTAAAGGAATCTTTTCGTCAAATGGAAATATCATAATCTGAAAATCAGCAATACTTCACAGCTCACACAGGCCTCATTTTTCGTAATTGCTCCTTTCAAAAGTCGACTGAAGTTAGTTCACCTCATTATTTTTAAGTGAAATACGGAGGAGGTAGAAGGTAATAAAATTAATTTCCTTACAAGAAAATGTGCTTCTTATTTTGGAATGAACTTGTGATGTAATTGGATCTATAGATTTATGTGTTTTTTGTTTCCTAACATTATATACTTGGAGTGCTATTTATTTAATTTTTTAATTAACTTCAGTGTGTTTGTATGACACTGAAACTGTTCCGTTAATTTTCTCATCCTGTGGCGACAGTCACGTTGTTGTGTTTCCCATAGAGACATACGTAAACTATCTTTGACCTAAAGCCCGGATTCATCAAAGGTTTTCATTTCATTGAACTCCCTTATTCATGTGTCGTAAAAACATACTATTAAATGTTTTAGTATTCACAATAATTCAGTTTAGATAAATTCTCAAATGCATAGTCTCTTAAATCTGACAGCACGAAGAAATTGGAACGTACAGAATTTCAAGATATCTGAATCTCGTGGTTATACCTGTCCGTCAGTGACTGGCCAATGGAGAGAGAAAAAGCGGACATAGGATCCGTGGAGGAAACATGGATCCCCTGGAATTGATAAACGATATATGAAGGTATTCTGCGTGAATTGTGGAATTTTTTAAATATTACACCACGTAACTCGCAGGATTTGATTTAGTATATAATTAGTAACGTGTAAATTAATAAGTTTGTAGTTCACGTAAATTTAGGGGAAAAAACGTGTGTAACAGAGCAAGGAAGAAAGTGGCTATATCAATTATATACTTGGTCCTGTGTTGTTACAAAGTTAATACAAATTTCTATTGCAGTAAATATAATTCTCTAAAGCTTAAAATATCAAGTTGTCCTGTGTTTTCTATATTGTGAGAAGAAAGTGCATTATTAGGATGTTAATGTAGAGTAGTTAATAACGTAGATTTCTTCTTGCTGAAGGTGTAATTTGTGGAACACATTTGTTGCATATTTTTCTACTTTACATTAAGTGAAGTTTGACATAAACGAGCTTTTCACTTTTAGTGCAAACTGTTCTGGATTATGACCTGCAAACTGAGTAGTCACTTACAGCGAGGTACCCCATTTTATACTTCGTCAAAATTGGTAGTTTTCCTGAAGGATTGTGCAATTCGTTGTGCCAGAGTGGAATTTGTAAATCGGTATTAGGGGACAGATTATAATAAATATTGCAGTGCGGAGAGGACACAGTTTCCAGTTTGCTGTTCTGAGTAGGCTACTCCGTGACAGTTTCTTCACGCTTGTCCTTCATGCTGAGTAGACTACTCCGTGAGAGTTTCTTCACTCTTGTCTTTCATGGTGAATAGGATACCCCGTAACAGCTTCTTCACTCTTGTCCTTCATGGTGAGTAGAAACATGAAGAGGGAGATGGACTCTTTCAGTATCTGGGACCAATACAATATTTCATGTTTTATAAACAATTACTGCATATTAATTTAGAGGTTGTTCAAATTAGAAAGATGAATTATTAAGAAAATATCTCACACAGCACACAATTATGGAAGTGTGAACATTTCTGGAAAGGCAGCTAAATGTATGCAAAACTTGATGGAATAAAAGTATGCAGTGGGGATTGCTGCAATCTAGAGGATTCGTCCTTCTAAAGATGGAAAGTTGAATGTTCTGTTCACTTTAATCGTATATAAGTTGAATATTCACATACCTCGAGTGCTAACTGAATATGTTCCTTCCTCTTTATTATTGTACTGAGTATGTGTAGGTTGTAGCGATTTGGAATTTGAAAAAAAAAGCATGTGACTGAAGTTGTTGTAAACGTGAGATGCGTTCGGAGAGAGTTCCTTCTAATGAGACAAGTAATTAAACCAGTTTATATAGGCACATATGCAATGAACACTTTTATAAGCTGTGCCAGTCTCTTTAAGAAGAGGAGATATTTTCTCGTACTTAAACACTTCGTGCAATAGACTCATGGAAATTTGTGTGTTTTCATATTAACTTATTTTTACTATTTGCATTTTATTCTCCTGTTATACGCAGACAGTATTTTACTAAGTGCTTCTTGAGATCTCAAAAGTTCGTGACGATAGTATATTGACAAAATGATGTACATTTTTGGATGTTGCCCATCAACTTAGTTTTATGTAAAATATCGTTTCTCAGACTTGACTATCTTTCCGCCTTACAGAAAGAAAGTCAACTCAGTCTAACAGAAACATATTAGAAATAGGACGATATATTATGTCGAAATATGATTAATTGAAAATGATCATTGTTGTTTTAGGAGGCATAAAATTTCATCCTATTGATATGGAGCGAATATCAAAACGGTGTTCCTGACATCGAGGATACTTTCCGAAATACTGGCATCTTACTGAATAACAACTCAGCTAATGTTCAGTAGTCACATGTTCGCAAGTCTTCTCGAAACCTTTAGATGTTAAAGAATTGTGGACTTTGGAGGTACATGTAATCAACTTAATGCAATTTAAATTATGCCATTTCCATTTTACTCGCATGTCCTTACATTCATCATGGTCGAGTTGGTCACCGGAACAAATTTCCCGGCTGTTAGTGTGAACTCCTTGTTGGCTGTGGCGATGATGAAGGCCAGACAGCGCTGAAATGGGACAGGGGTTCCCACCCAGTCGCACCCCCAGGCTGCGTCTCTCACCCTTTCAGCCTGGAACAGTAGCCCCTACGCATGTAACAGATGTTTCTGAAGGAATGTGGAACATACCAATCACTGTGTACAAATACAATTACAGTTTCCAACTACCTGAAGCGTGAGTTCCGTCCCAAGTGCGCAGAATAGACAGACGTAAGATATCGCAACTGCATATATGATGAGAATTTGCGTTAAGTCGATTATATCTCCCCAGCTCTAGATAAAAAGGAACATTTGCTTAGAAACGTGCAGGTCTGCATACACAATATTGTTCAAATACTCATACCCGCATTTATTTTACTGAGTTATAAATTAGTTTGTTTATTTATTTTAGAGGTTATGAAAAATGTGAGCTAAATGCATTTACCTGGAATATATATGTATGTGTCAAGGCAAGGGTGGCCTGAATGAGAGGCCTACATTATGAGACGAGAGCAAACTAAACAATTTGTGGTTTTGTTCGTTGTGGTTAAGTTACTGAGAAGGGTTCATATTTTCCTAATTTTTCCTCTTCTCCAGTGAATACCGCGATGAACTTGATGTTAGAAGCAAGCAATTTACATCCCGCTATGTAATTTTGAGAGTTCTGCTTCTATTCTTAAAATCCCGGTGCAGTTATGCCCGAAATATGAATTGTTTGTTTCTCTGTATAATGAGCCGACTATTAGCTATTTGTGTAAGAATATCAATGTAGTATGAAATGCTTACAGTAACAGAATTACTTAATATATTTGGTGGATGAAATTAATAAAATCTTTCCTTACTTGTTCGTCTATTTGCAAATTTCAAAATGTTTTGAGACAACATTCGGTTTACATGTACGTCCCAAACTGATAAATTTTAAATAGTTGTGTTTAATTTACAGGAAAATGTATGATCTTCCAATTTCCTTAAATGTTACTGTGTTTGCTGTATAACAGCATTGTTTCCCCCGCAATTACACTTATTTATTTTCAAATGTTATATTTTAGCGTCCTGTTGCACTGATTTAAGTCCATGATTTATTTAATCCGTCTTGCAGTGCATACATTCATTTATCTCCTTTCCCTCGCACTACATGTTTCGGCATAATAATGCCATCTTCAGGTGCTTACTTGTCCACGTCAAACCAGTTCATTGCATGCCATGTTCACACATTAAAATAACTAAAATATGTATCTATCATATACATTGTCAAACGTTAAAA